GTATAATCGAATTCAAATTCAAATTAAATTATAATTATCTAATTCAAATATAATAAAATTAATATTATATTTAAAATATAATCATAATTTAAATTCAAATATTAAGTGGGCTTGGGCCAACTAATTAATTAATTCAATATCCCAAATCAAATTCTAATTGGGCTTATTAAATCAATTTAATTTCTATGATCCAATTAATTAAATTGGCCCAATAACCAATCCTGATGTCGGTCCAATAACCATTTATCAGCCCATTTGTTGGGTTCAAATTTTCTGTGTCTACACTCACACCGGCCAAGATCCCCACCAACGACGCAGCCGCCTACACCGCCCAGGTCAGCTGCATCCTCACCGTCCGAAACCAAACAGGTCGCCGCCTCGTCACCGGAGTCTCGCCGGAATCCCGCCGGAACCTCACTGGAAAAAGCGTCACCCGAGAAACATCACCTAATGGAATCTCAAAATGCCGAAGAAGCCCGTTGGTATCCGAACCCCGGAATGGAACGACGCCGATTACACGGTAATTGGAGGTAAAGCCCGCGAACCCGACCAATTCTCTCCGGAATTGGTCGATATGCTTAAATTTCAAGGACTCTTGGATACGTATCTCTCCATCAAAGGGGATACGTACCCCGACTTAGTGAAAGAGTTCTATCACCACTTAGTTGCCATCAAACGGGGTGATAAAGTGGAAATCACCGCAAAAGTCCGGGGCAAGGAGATAGTACTCTCCGAGGGCCGCTTGGCCAAACTCCTAAAGCTGACCACCACAGGTGTGTCGGATTACGACCGAAAGGGATGGATTGGTACCCAAGGCACGGGGTATATGGACTACCTCGGGTACCTACTAGGAAAGGAAGAATGCTTCACCTCGGCCACCCGGTCAAACAGGAAATGGCTAACTGCCGAACAAAAGATACTAGTCATGATTGTGACCTATAGCTTGTTGCCCACGAACAAAAATAGCAGGAATGTGGGAAGTTTGGAGTGTACTTTTGCCTACTTCCTAAAACACAAGATCAAGTTCAACCTACCGGCCCTCATGTTGAAGCACATGGAGTTTTGCAAGACTAGCAACTGGCTTAGTCTACCTTACGGGATGATCCTCAGTTGGATCATGGAGAAAAAGGGAGTGGACCTAAACCACACAGAGATCAAACCCGTAAGCGGCATGGTTTTCAATGCACAGAACCTCCGTCGCAATGACATCTACTACACTGAAAGGGGACAGTACATCACCCTCGAGGAGATTTGCCTTAAACCCGAGGAGGAGCGAAGAGAATTGGTTGATCAACTGGATATCTCCAACAAGAAACTTAAACGGGCAATGCAAGATTGTGGGGGACTAGAGGGAGATGAGGAACAAGAAGAGGATAGCGAGCCTAATCCACCGGCACCCACACGAGCAAGAGGAAACCCAAGGGGCCAAAATGAAGGGTCCGTCAAAGAGCGCATCCTCGCACAGCTCACCCGGCAAAACCAAATCATGGACGAAGGGTTCTCGTCCCTAATCCGCGCGACACGCGCTTTGGACCAAAGGGTAGCAGCAATCGAGACCATATTGGGTACTCGCGGGGCATCCAGCTCGGGGGCAGGGAACCAAGATAGACCCAAACTTTCCAAATCACCACTTCACCAGAGATCCAATCTACCCCAGCAAAAGACAACACGTGGGGGCCACGTTCCTAATCAGGAGGCCAAAATACGTGACGTCCAGGGGTGAAAGAATGGATCCACGCACCGGCTTCGGGGACGAAGCCTCTTGTAAGGGGAGGAGAGTGTAACACCCTGTGTTACGACCCCTAAAACCAAATTAATTAATTAATTACTCACCCTAAAAAAGGAATTAAAATCCATTAATTAACTAAAAAGGGGTCCACCATAGTCCATGGACCCTTATCCCTAAAACCAACCCCTTAGTCCTATAAGGAATGGAAGTGGCAAGCCCATACCATTTAGACCATAATTAGGACTCATAGGTATATAAATAGGGACATAAGAGGCGCCTAGAACTCACACCACAATAACTTTCACCACACAAGAATTCCCAAGAATTCCCATAGGAGAAATCAAGAAAGAAGAAATCTTAAAGAAAGACCCTTCATAGCTAAGGAAATTAATTAAGGCTAAGAGGTAACCCATGTCTCAACAAAACCTATTTTCCTTGCTATATTCTCCTTCTTTGGCTCCCTCTATATACTTGTGTCTTGATGAATTTCTTTATGATATTCGTGATATAATCTTGTTGATTGATGTGATGATTTTTGTTAGGAATAAAATGTAATAGTTTTGATGAGCCAAATTTGTATTTTTAGAACCCCCCAATTTTATTTTGAGTCTAGTTGTCTATTAGCCTAAGTCCCAAGTCAAGCCATAAAGTCTACGAATTCTTAGCAAAATATACTTATCCAGAATGTTACTATTTGAGAATTATTTACCTTAGAAGACACCAAAGGATGAAGCGGTGAAGTGGATAAGGAACAAGGTTGTTGAAGTAGAAAGTCATAGGTTCAAGACTCAATTGCTACATTTTTGAGTAAGAGATAAAGAAGGGGACGACCAAGGGGCTGATAGGGGACTACCAAGAGGCAGACTCGGATTAATTTGTGAATTAATCTAAAATTCTACTAAAGCTATTCTGGGAATAAAGATTAAATCCAAAAATATTAACTAATGAGTTAATATGGTGTAGTGGTACAAGTGTGGGAGATATATGTTGTTGGCTCATGTTCAAATCTCATTAGAAGCATATTTTTTAAGGATGACAATTGTTAGGTGAATGCTACAATGTGGACACATGGAAGGCTAAATTGACAACAAGTTCGGAAGCTTGTGGACATGATAAGGAAGATGCACGTGAATTCTTCTACACATCTTCTTTCTCATTTAAATATCTTGCTATGCATCTCAAATCATTTCAGAAGAAGAAATGGAGGAAGATATAATTTTAACTCAAGCAAGAATCAGCAGGAAATCTTTTGGAAGATTTCATCATTTTGAATCCGTCAAGATAAGGTAATTATTTTTTGGAGAAGATTCAGCTGATGAGCCGACATATACGACTTTGAAGTTTTGTCAGGTGAGTATTTTCAAACTCACTGTAAGAAGCCCATCTCTTGCATTAAATCACCGCAATGCAAGTTGGCAATAATGTGTAGCTGATCAAGATGAACGATCAAGATCAAGTGATGCTACAACGGTAATATAGCTTCTTCAGCTATATATACCAGATGACTTGAAGACATGAAGCAGTGATAAGAGAGTGCAATACACGAAAAAGGGAGACAACAATACACAAAGAGCAAAAACTCGAAAATATCTAGTCTGAGCTTACAAGAGAGATTCTTCAAGTCATTAGAAGAGAAATTTTTTTTCTCTTAATCTTACCACTACTGTGTGTAGAAAGAGGGTTGAGTGGAGCTTTGTGCAAGACACTACCCTATTGAGTGTTGCTTTGTGCGAGACACTCGTGAGTGTAGCTTTGCACGAAACACTCGTGGTTGCTGAGTGTAGCTGTGTGCGAGACGCTCGGTGGTGCTATGTGTAGCTGGGTGCAAAACACTTAGTTGGTGTAGGAGTATAGCTTTGTGCAATATACTCGGGAGTATAGCTTTGTGCGAGATACTCGGGATTGAGTGTAGCTGTGTGCAAAACACTCGGGAAGTGCCTGTGTGCACTTGATTCACTATTTGTATATGGGTGAACGAGATAGTGAATTTCCTCCTTTCAGTGAAAGGAGAAGAGTGGACTTGGAGGATTACACCACCTCTGAACCACTATAAATTACCTCTCTCATTTTACTTACTGCTTTTATTTATTATTGCATGCATACTAACCCATTTACTATTCGTCTTATTCATTTATCTTATTGATTGGGTTATGTGACTTTACAAGTACATGCAGACACAATTCCTTTTGGATTCATTCATTGATTCACACGTGACATTGCAAACATATTGAGTGAACCATCTCTTTAATATTTTATAGTCTTGCATGTTGAATATTTGACTGACCCATCTTATATTGTGCGAAAATATTCATCTGGGTTTAGTAGTTTTCACGTATGCATGTGAGCATAAATTTGCATACTGATTATTTGAGCCATACCAAGCATATCCATCATATTGAATGTGATATATCTCTTTGATTTTACGTAACACTTGGTTGATTAATTATTCCGCTGCGCATCTAAGTTTCTTATCTTGTTACTTAGAGTTGAAATTACCAAAATGTTATTAATTGCGAAAAAGTTTAAAAAGTCTATTCACTCCCCCCCCCCCCCCTCTAGACTTTTTACCACCCTATCGGGACCAACAATTGGTATCAGAGCGGGTTGCCTATTTGGGTCAAATTGTCTCTGACTGATACCAATAATTGGTGTCAGATCGGTTGTTTATTTGAGTCAATTTTGACTGCTAGACAGATCTCGAAAAATCAAGATGATGAAAAGAGATATGGCTCTTGGCCAAAATTTATTATTTTCTCTAGAAAAATTTGATGATTGGAAAATTCGCATGCAGGTACATTTATCTGCATTACATGATGAAATGTGGGAAGTAATCACTAATGGTCCAATTGAAATCTTACAAGTGAACACTGCTTCCGTACAAACAAGTGAGACTCCACAGTACATTCCAAAGCCTAAAGTGGAATGGACTCGTGAAGATAGAACGCGAAATAACTTGGATAATATTGCCAAGGATATTTTGTTCAAATCTATCGATGATACGATATTCCCAAAGGTTCGAAAATGCCAATTAGTAAAAGAAGTTTGGGAGACACTCATCCAAATTGGTGAAGGTGACGAACAAGAAAAGGATAATAAACTCACCATAGCATTAAAGAGATTTGAGGATTTCAAAATGCTAAGTGGCGAGAATATTACCGACATGGAAACAAGATTTTCCAAAATCTTGGGAGAAATTAATGATCTTGGAAAAGACATTAATCAAAAGGAAATCTCTCTCAAAATCCTACGTGGTTTACCGTCAAGTTGGGACATGAACGTCACTGCCATGCGTGATCATAGAGATCTAAAGACTCTATCAACTGATAAGCTTTTTAGTGATCTAAAAGCCTATGAGTTTGAAATGAAGTCAAGGACGGAGGAAGAACGCGAAGAAAAGAACAATGCATTAGTTGCCGAACAACCGTCCACGTCAAGGTCAGTAGATAATGGTGAATTATTAAATAACGAAAACTTTGCTTTGTTTGTCAGGAAATTCAAGAGGTTCATGAGGAAAAACAATCACAAAAGTTTTCCTAAAGCAAGCACATCACGAAGGCATAAAAAGGAAACCTTGGAGGACAATTCGAATTTATACTACAACTGTAGAAAACCTAGACACTTTATGGCCGAATGTCTTTATCCCAAGGTAAGCAAAAATCAATCTGTGCAGGAGGAAACCAAAGTCAAGGATAGGAGATTCAACAAGAAAGACAAAAGAAAAGCTCTTATTAGTGACCCACTAGAAACAAGTGAGTCTGAGGAATCTTCTGGCAATGAAAGTGACAGCTCTACAGATGATAATGCACTATTTGGAATGAGCATGTCAAGCAATTCAAATAGTCAAGATCTATGTCTTATGGCACACGAAACAGATGATGATGAGGTAACTTCTAAATCCTTTGATTCTGTAAGTTCATCTTTCTCTAAAGAGTCTATCTTTCATATGATGAAGGATTGTCAAACCATGATGGTCACTTACTCGCAAATCAAGGAGCGCAATAATTTACTGATTCTTGAAAAAGATCAACTAAATGAAAAATTGCAAAATGCTCTATCTGAGATACGAGACTTGAAATCTGAAAATATTCGACTTCAAGAAGAGTGTAAAGCAAGGGAAGTGAGAGAACACAACCTAAAGGAAGTTATAGCAACATTTACTCATTCATCCAAAATAATGGATAAAATGGTAAATATGCAAAAATCCTCAGGAGATAAAACCGGACTTGGTTATGATCCATCGTGTTCTCAAGCCTCTGAGAAATTGACCAATTCTACTAATGCTTTAAATAATAAAGTTAAAGTAATAAAATTTGTAAAAGGTCAAGATAGCACAATGAAACAAGGAATTGGTTACCAAGCTAATGCCAAAAATGTTATTGCAAGGCCGAAGCCTCAAAGTAAATTTAATTCGCCAATGCAGTCAAATAATAGGCAAAAGTTTGTTCCTAAATGGAAACATACCAATGAGTCGAGTGCACAAAGTCCTCATAGGAAAACAGAAAGAACTCCGAGGATTGGGGCAAGGAGACTCTATCCCTCTTAACAAGATTGGTTTGATGATATTAAACCATGGACAAAGTCTAGATTTAATGCCTTTCATAGGCTCAAACAAATCTCTTCCCAAGTGCCAAAAGATCGAGTCAATTTTCAAAACCCGGCACCAAAACCTTTTTCGAAAATAAGGTATGATTATAATGTTTTCAATGGTTGCGAATCACCTAATCTTGGATCAATAAGAACTAGGTGGATTTGGATACCAAAAAGGACTAGCACTCAAGGACCCAAATTAAGTTGGGTACCTAAAAATGCGTAAACTATTTGCAGGAAATTTGGTACTTCGATAGTGGATGTTCTCGAAACATGACTGGAAATAAATCTAGTCTTGTGAATTTTAAAAATATCGAAGGACCAAAAGTTGTGTTTGGAGGAAATGATCGATATGGTACAACCAAAGGAATAGGAACAGTATCCCGCAATGGTCTAAAAATAGAAGACGTATCCTATGTTGAAGGATTAAAATTCAACTTGCTGAGCACAAGTCAATTTTGCGATAAAGGCTATCTTGTAGAGTTTTTCAAAGACAAGTGTCAAGTGAAGAACGGATCCACAGGCGAGATTGTTCTAGAAGGAATCAGAAAGAAAAATATGTATGTTGTAGACTGGAGCACAACCAAAGACTTTGTGTGTCTTGTTGCAAACAACTCAAGCAATGTGGGTTGGGAATGGCACAAAAAGTTGAGTCATCTCAACTTCAAAACCATTAACAAGCTCGTGACGAGAAATCTAGTCAAAGGACTACCCAACATCACCTACAGAAAGGATCAGATTTGCGATGCATGTCAAAAGGGAAAACAAGTCAAATCATCCTTCAAGACAAAAACACGCGAATCAAGTCAAAGACCTCTTAGTCTACTACATATGGCTCTGTTTGGTCCAGTGGAGCCAGTAAGTATGAGTGGTAAGAAATATACTCTTGTTGTTGTTGATGATTTTTCCAGGTACACATGGACGATATTTCTCGGAAAGAAAAATGAAGTAGAGAAGAAGCTACCAGAACTTCTCAAACAGCTTCAAAATGAAAAGGAAGTCAACATTGTCAAAATTCGTACCGATAGAGGAGCAGAGTTTGTGAATAGTGTAATTCAAAATTACTACAATACTCAAGGAATTATGCATCAACTATCAGCCGCAAGAACTCCACAACAAAACGGAGTTGCCGAAAGAAGGAATCGTACGCTTAAAGAAGCCGCACTAGTTATGATAGCTGCAGCTGAGCTACCTAAACGCTTTTGGGCCGAAGCAATCAATACTGCTTGCTATACCCAAAATAGAAGTCTAATCTACAAGCTGCACGGCAAGACACCTTATGAATTGTGGAAAGGGAGAAAACCTAACCTTAGTTATTTTCATTCATTTGGTTGCAAATGTTTTGTTCTTAATAATGGCAAAATCTATCTAAGAACGTTTGATCAACGTGCAGAAGAAGCAATATTCTTAGGATATTCTTGCACCAGCAGAGCATTCAGAGTATTAAATAAATCAACAATGGTGGTTGAAGAATCCATTCATGTCTTGTTTGATGAATTCTCGAAAAGCAAGGAATATCCGACAGTTGATATCAATGATGAAAATAATGCTAATGAAATTTCTGAAGATATTTTGCAGGGAAATAGCAATCTAAACTGCTCCGGAACAGTAACCGATGTGGAAGATGATATAAGGGAAGAAGTAAGGGAATGTGTTGGGGTTGGAGTTGGAACTAATAGTGAAGATCAACGAATGGATCAAACCGCAAACCCAAATCCCCCCACTTCACACGAACCCTCTACTTCTCAAGGAAGCTTTCAACCGGATTTGAAGTGGCTAAAAAATCATCCACAAGATCAAATCATTGGAGATGTTCATGATGGCGTGAGAACTAGATCTGCATTACAAGAGACCCAATTTTCATGTTTTCTTTCTCAAGTTGAACCGAAGGACATAGATGATGCTTTAAAAGATCCTAGTTGGATTGAAGCAATGCAAGAAGAGCTAAATCAGTTTGAACGCAACGATGTGTGGGAGCTTGTTTCGAGACCATCTAATCACAACGTGATTGGAACAAAATGGGTCTTTAGAAATAAAGCAAATGAAGATGGAATCGTTGTTAGGAATACAGCAAGGCTAGTCGCAAAGGGCTACTCACAAGAAGAAGGAATAGATTTTGATGAGACATTTGCCTCGGTTGCAAGATTGAAGCAATAAGAATCTTTCTAGCCTTTGCAGCTTACAAGAATTTTACAGTCTATCAAATGGACGTAAAAAGTGCATCTTAAATGGCCTACTCGAAGAAGAAGTATATGTTGAGCAACCCCCAGGTTTCGAGGTAAAAGGTAATGTTGATAAGGTCTATAAACTAAAGAAGGCATTATATGGGTTAAAACAAGCACCGAGAGCTTGGTATGACACCCTATCAATGTTCTTAATTAGTTGTGGGTTTACCAAAGGCATTGTTGACAAAACCTTATTTAAAATTCAAGAAAATGATCATATATTATTAGTACAAATTTATGTTGATGATATTATTTTTGGAAGTACTAATAAATTATTATGTGAGAAATATTCTAAGCTCATGCAGAACAAGTTTGAAATGAGCATGATGGGAGAGCTAAACTACTTCCTTGGACTGCAAGTAAAACAACTGAAGGAAGGAATACTCATAAATCAGGCCAAATACACCAAAGATCTTATTAAAAGATTCGGTCAAGAAGGAAAGAGTTCAATGAAAATTCCAATGAGCACATCAGTCAAATTAGACAAAGACGATGAAGGCAAAGACGTTGACGAGACGCAATATCGAGGAATGATTGGATCTTTATTATATCTCACTGTGAGTAGACCCGATATATCTTACTCAATGGGTGTATGTGCAAGATTCCAATCTAAGCCAAAAGAAAGTCATCTACTTGCCGTCACGAAGATTATCCGATATCTTAAAGGAACCAACAATGTAGGATTATGGTATCCTAAAGAAGGAAATTTTGAACTAACCAGTTTTTCAGATGCAGATTTTGCAGGGTGCAAAATTGATAAAAAAAAAGTACCTCAGGAACGTGCCAGTTCTTAATTAGGGGGAAGGTTAGTTTCATGGTTTAGCAAGAAGCAAAACTCCATTGCAACAAGCATAGTCGAAGCCGAATATATCGCTGCAGGGAGTTGTTGCGCACAAATTCTATGGATGAAGCAACAATTAAAAGATTATGGAGTCAATTGCAATGAAGTTAGTATCTTCTGTGATAATACTAGCGCCATAGCAATTTCTCAAAATCCAGTACTTCATTCAAGAACAAAGCACATTGATGTCTGACACCATTTTATACGAGATCACGTTGAGAAGAAAGACATCAAAATCGATCACGTACCAACAGAAAATCAACTAGCAGATATTTTGACAAAGCCTTTGCGCGAATCACGATTTATCACTCTAAGGCATGAGTTGGGCATGATCGAAATGAGCTAAGTATCACGTTCTCTATCTTTAAGCTCAATTTGTTCAATTTAATTTTAGTTACTGTGTTTATTTTATTTGTTACGTACCTATATGTGCTAATTGCATAATTATTTGTGTTAATTGTGTTTTTGCATGCTATGTGATTTTGTATTAATTAAAATGCAATTTTTTTAAATTAAAAAAAAATTCGTGTCTTATAATCTTTAATTCTTAAGGTTATCTTTTGCATATTTTAATCAAGTTTGTACGTGTCTAATGTGTGATTTTATAAAATTTTTACCATACTCACTAGCATAGCCATCTGTAAAGTCATAGAGTTTTTACTTAGCACATAGAAATTTACCTAGGAAAAAGATTTGTCTTGTTTGCATAACACATGGATTTTGTGTCAGTGAATGAAATTTATTGTGCATCTACCCCATTGAATTTGGTTGGTCTAATCATTATCTCTTTTTGACAAAATGTTGTTGCATGTCTTTTATGCATGTATCTAATTCATCTGAGATATCCTTGAGTTGAACATTTTTCATACTCAATAAATTGACCAAATTACCCTCAATTTTCAAACCCCACTAAACTTATCATTAAGGGTATTTTCGTCCCTCTAGCCCTAAATGTCTTACACGCCTCTTCCTCTTCCCAAATAAACCCAACTTCAAAACTCTTCTTCTCTCTCTTTTACGAGACACCATAGCCGAAACCTCTCAAAACCTCTCATTCTCACAAAACTTTGATACCCACTCCAAAATAACTTCAAAAATGGCATCCTCAAGTAGAAAATCATCGAAGAACACACAACCCATGGAGAAAGTCAACACAGGACATCTCCTCGACCCAACCGATTTCAAAGGTGTGTGTACAAATCTAGTTCTTGCTCAAGAGATTTTGGATGGATTGGAGAAATGTGGTCTACAAAAGGTTTGCATGTTTCGTTATATGGGTATTTTTTATGATGAAGCATTTGATTTTTTCAAACATGCTAAAATGAAGAACAATGTGATTAAATCTTGTGTTAATGGCGTACGGGTATCTGTTAGTCAAAATGATATTAGAGAGTTTTTTGATTTCTCTAAGAATGATATTACTCTAGACAATTATTATTTTGATCAGTTTGAGTTTTGGACAAAGGTTCGAATTAATGACAGTTTGAATGTACCAAAATTTTCTGGGAGGAAGTCCGAATTGTTCAAATGGGAATTTTGTAAACTTGTTGAAGTTCTTGCCAAGTGTGTATTGTGTAAATTAGGTGGATTTGATAAATCTACTTTGCAAATAGCTAGTATGATGCATGCTGTGGTTTATGGAAAGAAGTTGGATTGGAGTAAGGTGATTTTCAACCGATTGGTCACAATGGTGAATAAAGAAGATAAGCCTAGTTATGGTCTCATGATTGGTGAACTCTTGAGGAGGAAAGGCATCCAAATGAAGGAAAGAAAATCAATTCTTTCTAGCAAGTACTTATTTCGAGTTAATGTCAAAAGAGAAAGAGTTGAAGAACATGAAAGTGAAGAAGATCAAATGGATGATGATGTTCCTTTGAGCCATGTGTTTAGAAAGAAAAGAACACCAAGAGTTGAGATTAGAGATGAGGATGTGGCTGCTGGAGATGATACAGTTGCTGTTGAGGAACAGAATGAAGTCTTGGACACTGCCAACACCATCGGGGCAGATGAAAATGAAGAAATCCAAGAAGAAGAAGAAGAAGGGGATGATACAGGGGATGACCAAAGGGATGACACAGGGGATGACCTTATGGCTGATTTGCATACTACTTTTGTGGCAGATTTAAACACTGATTTTGTGGTGGCTGATGAACCAGTGTTACCAGCTTACTTAGGGGCTGATCCAGAGGCCAAGGAAGGAAAATAACAAGAAGATGTTGAGATGAATGACCAAGCAAAGGAAGATGAAGTTCAAAAAGATGGTGATGAGCATATTGTTGACATTTTGGAAGAAAATTCGAATGAAGATGAGGAGATTAACAAAGAAAAAAGTTCTAATGTTGAGGTGATCAAAGCCTTGAAGGAACTAAAGGAGGCCATTAGAGCACGTGATGAACATTTTATCCCAACAATTATTGAGTTTTTGAATTCTTTTGTTGACAGGTTAACGGTTGCCCTTGAGGAAGAAAGAAGTGCTCAAGTCAATCTTGAAAAGTCTCACCATGCCGACAATATGATGCACAAAATTAGGTATGAGAAGCTACTTTTCAAAGTGTGCGTGGAGGTTGAGGATCTACGAAGAACAATTGAAAGGATTGACACCCATGGAGAAGATATCCGAATGATCAAGAAGGAGTTATCCACAATTAAGGATTTTCTCTAAGGATTGGCTAGCACAACCTTGCGTACCGACTCGGTGGTCAAGGAAATTGTGACCTTATCCAAGAAGGGCACAGATATGGTCAAGGCGATTTTTGATGACACCAAAAAGGGGGAAAGGGAACAACCCTCTCATTTTGGTGGTGGATTTGGACATGGTGGACAAGGCTCGAGCAGTTCGGGCGGTGCATACCTTCAGGGGGAAGGAAGTTCACCAAATGAAGATATCATTACATCATTTGCCGCACTCGTACCAGATGTGGACGAACTAAAGGAAGGAAAAAGAATTTTCGAATGTGCCAAGTGGTACACTAGAAATGTTTTTTCCAACAAGCAAGGGAGATGTATGTGGAGCTTTTTCATGCTATCTTAAAGGACAAGTGAAGCAATTATATTATCATGCTAATTGCAAAGGTAATTTCATTAAGCTAAGAGCTAGAGTAAATAGCATGATTGGACCGTAAAATGCTTAACTTTTCAGTACATTTTGCTAAGGTTGTAATATGGCTTGTTTGGATTTGATGCAACTAATCTATCTTTTATCTAATCATATTTTATTTAGCTTTATGCTTTTTAATTTTTAGACACATGTTTAAGTATTGTAAATGCAATTTGAGGGGAGAAAACAAGTTGACAAAAGAAATTAAAATTAATCCTCAAAAATTGCAACATGTTTACGTGTCTAAAAGTAAAAAGTCCTTATGTCCAAATTTTGTCAAACTCGTCAAATTGGCTAGTCAAAATAAAATAAAATAAAGAAAAATAAAAGATTATTGTTTTTTACTGGACTAAGCCAAAATGTTTGGGTATAGGTTTTGGCATCATCAAAAAAGGGGGAATTTGTTAGGAATAAAATGTAATAGTTTTGATGAGCCAAATTTGTATTTTTAGAACCCCCCCAATTTTATTTTGAGTCTAGTTGTCTATTAGCCTAAGTCCCAAGTCAAGCCATAAAGTCTACGAATTCTTAGCAAAATATACTTATCCAGAATATTACTATTTGAGAATTATTTACCTTAGAAAACACCAAAGGATGAAGTGGTGAAGTGGATAAGGAACAAGGTTGCTAAAATCAAAGGTCATAGGTTCGAGACTCAAGTGCTACATTTTTGAGTAAGAGATAAAGAAAGGGATGACCAAGGGGCTGATAGGGGACAACCAAGAGGCAGACTCGGATTAATTTGTGAATTAATATCTAAAATGCTACTAAAGTCATTTTGGGAACAAAGATTAAATCCAGAAATATTAACTAATGAGTTAATACGGTGTAGTGGTATAAGCGTGGGAGATATATGTTGTTGGCTTGTGTTCAAATGAGTTAATACGGTGTAGTGGTATAAGCGTGGGAGATATATGTTATTGGCTTGTGTTTAAATCTCATTAGAAGCATATTTTTTAAGGATGACACTTGTTAGGTGAATGCTACAATGTGG